GATAAAAAAAGGTTAAGTGTGTATTACAAGAGTGTTCTCGTTGTAGCAAGAAGGCCCTGAGAGAAGGGAGTGAGATTGTGGCTTTCTCGCTATAGCGAGAGAACGATAGGGGGTGCATTTATGGGTACAGTCTTGTTGTAGTGAGAGGGTCTCGCTGTAGCGAGATTATGCAAAAATCAGAGTGCAGGATTTTCGCTATAGCGAGAAGGGGTGTTGCTGCAGCGAGGGAACTCACCGCAGTGAGAATATCTCACTATAGCGAGGGTGTCACGATTAGAAAGGATATTTGAGGGGTTTAAGATTTAGGAAGCTCATTTCTCATCCCTCTCTTCAAACTCTCTTCGATTCTCTCAACTCCTAACCCTATTTCACCGAGTAAACTGCCTCCAAAGTCAATTGTGAGCAAGATTGAAGGTTGTGGTTGAGTTTGGGGCATTTGGAGGACAAAAATCCATGTGGGGGACATTTTCTATCGTTGGATTGCTTTGGGTCTTCGATTTGAGGTAAAGGGGAACTCTACCCTATCTCTTTATACTTAAAATTCATTTGTATGGTTATGGTTGTGAATGTGAATGATTGAAACATAGGAGGATGTATGTTTTATTGAAAACAATTTGATTGTGGTGAGATTTTGATGGAATGTTTATGTAAAATATAGTGTGATCAATATCAAATGGTGTGTATGATGAAATGAGTCAATGGGTATGGATTGTGATGGAATGACTTAACTATGCCAGGGTTTCTATGAAAATTTGATGTTGAGTGTGATGTAATTGAATGTGGGCCTACGTGCCGTGTGTGAAAGTGAATATTGTAATGTGATTATGATTGTGATTATATTTGAATATATTAGAAAGCTGTGAATGGTTAGCGATACACTAGGGGTGTGAAAAATTCGATGCAAAGCGAAGAACCTTACCAAGGCTTGACATGTCGCGAATCCTCTTGAAAGAGAGGGGTTGTAACTACTATTTTCTACCAAAACCCTGTATACTCATATTATAACTTAAGACTCTACAACGTGGCACACCTAAATTATACGCGTAAGAGAACTCAATCAAATAGTATTATAGAGGGATCCTACTAGCTATATACCGTCATCCATCACTCTAGGGGCATAATTTCGTCTCTTAATCCTCAAGATTCGTTCAAAAGTACTTCCATGAACGATCACATTACAATTCTTTATTGTACGATTCCACACCAACCGCATCAATTTACGGTATTCACATTCCAACTCAAATATTTAATTTATCACAATAACTCAAACTAATTAAAAGATAACCATTATAACAGTGTACTTGCATCGAGTTCACTCATCATAAAATTATATATATTACCCAGTCTCACATTTCAACAACTTACAAGTCATTTATATTAGTTACTCTAATTGTTCGCAAAATAACTCTATAACAACGATACCATTAGAGATGAAATTTTGGAAATATAGCAAAGAGTATATTGATAAAAGAAAAGTGCATAAATATATATACCATCCAACCAAGGTGTCCGAGGAAAAAGAAAAAAAAATCAAAGCCAAATAACCCCAAAGTCTAGTATTCCAAAATAGTAAAGACAACCCAAGTCCTATGAGCAGTATTTATCCATGAGGAAAGATTGAACAGTGTCTCTTGGGCCCTTTGTGGTGCACGTGAAACTTAGGGTAAAAAGTGGTGGTTCTCATTAATTGACTAGCTCAGGGTGCATGACACTTAGAGAAAATAAATGGAAGGATTCGCATCTACCTATTAACTAGGCCAAGTGGACATTTAAGGTAAGTGAGGAAAAGTCACACATGTAGTTCCACATAATTTAAGAAGGTATATAACACAATCAAATAATATGAATAAAAAGAATAATGTAAAAATTAATTACAATGGTCATGAAGTAAAATGGGGTCCACCTATTGGACCAAAGGACAAATTCACCCCAGGGTTAATCCCATTAACCTAGGGTTATTTAAGGTAATTTCATCACATGATCATATAACAACCCCATTCATATACATACACATATAATGTGCCGACCATTACCCCATCATCATTCGTAAGAATTTGGGCAGCAAAGACTCAAATAACTCAAGCAATCATCATCATAAAGGAATATATTTAAGAAAAATCAATTAACCACAAAATTATCAAAACGCAACGAGAAACAATCAAAATAATAATAATAATAGTAGTACTAATAAAAGTAAACTAATTCGGACAACCTTAAGTATATATACCAAAATTGGGGATGTTACAACACTCCCCTTCTAAAAAAAAAATTTCGTCCTCAAAATTTGACACCGACCTGATACGAAGAGATGCGGGTAGCGTTCCCTAATTCCTTCTTCACGTTTCCACGTGGTTTGACTTTCATCTGCTACATTCCACATTACTTTGACTAAGGAAATCTCCTTATTTTGAAGTCGCTTGATCTTGCGATCACCGATCCGGTGAGGTGTAACTTCAAAGGTTAAGTTCTCCTTAAGGGGTATGTGATCAACTTCAATAACATGGGACGGATCAAAAATATATCTCCTAAGTTAAGATACATGAAACACATTGTGGAGTTTGGACAGGTTCAAAGGTAGGGCAATTTGATACGAAGATCCTCCTATCTTCCTAAGGATTTGGTAAGGGCCAATGAATCTAGGACCAAGCTTTCGAGACTTCAGGATTCGAGCAACACCTGTGTGTGGGGTGACTCTTAAAAATACATGATCTCCTTCCTCGAATTTCAGTGGACATCTTCTTTTATCGTAGTAGCACTTTTGTCTGCTTTGAGTTGCCGTCAGCTTCTCCCGAATATCTCTAATCTTCTCAGTAGTGTGTTGGATTATCTCTGGGCCAATGAGTAATTGCTCTCCGGTTTCGTACCAACACAACAACGTTCTACATCTACGTCCATATAATGCTTCGAACGGGGCCATACCGATGCTAGAGTGGTGGTTGTTGTTGTAGGTAAACTCTATTAGCGGTAGGTGCTCGTCCCATCTTCGGCCATCCTCCAGGCTGCACACTCGTAGCAGGTCTTCCAACGATTGAATAGTCCTCACGAATTGCCCATCAGTTTGGGGGTGATATGCTGAACTAAGACGCAACTTTGTCTCCAAAACTTGGTGTAAACTCATCCAAAACCTCGATGTGAAACGTGGATCCCTGTCAGAAACTATGCTTTTGGGAATCCCATGCAGGCGAACAATCTCCTTGATGTAAAGTTAAGTCAACCTTTCCATGGAATATCTAGCATTTATAGGAATAAAGTAGGCAGACTTGGAAAGCCTATCCACGATTACCCATATCGTATCATGTCCAGTCGGTGTTCTTGAAAATCTCGATACGAAATCCATCGCAATGTCATCCCATTTCCACTGAGGAATTTCTAGGGGTTGCAATTCTCCAGCCGATCGTTGATGCTCTATTTTGGCCTTCTGACAAGTCAAGCATGAAACTACAAAACTAGCAATGTCCTTTTTCATTTCAGGCCACCAGAAGTCTCTTTTCAAGTCTCGGTACATCTTCGTCGTTCCAGGGTGAATGCTGATTTGGCTCCTATGAGCTTCTTCAAGAATCATTCGTCTAAGTTCGTCTTTCTCTAGCACACAGATTCTTTCCTTGTACTTAATCACTCCTTGGTTATCTTTGAATATGTTGGGTTCTCATCCTTTCTCCTTGGCTTCTAATCTCCCTTGAAGAAATTCATCTTGTTCTTGAGCGGCCTTAATTTGGTCTCAGAATTGATTGGTCACGCGAAGTACTCCACAAATCATGCTGTTAGGCCTTAATTGAACATCCAAGTTGAGACTTTGGAATTGTTCAAGGAGTTCAAATTCATTTACCATCATCGCTGAAGCGTGTAATGTTTTTTGGCTCAAGGCGTCAGCTACAACATTGGCTTTTCCAAGGTGATAATGGAGTTCAAAATCGTAGTCCTTAAGAAATTCCATCCATCTTCGTTGGTGCATATTCAACTCTTTTGGGTCGAAGAGGCACTTCAAACTTTGATCCATAAAGATGGTGTCTCCAGATCTTAAGGGCGAAGACCACTGCAGCCAGTTCAAGGTCATGCGTCGGGTAATTCTTCTCATGAGGACGCAATTGTCTGAACGCGTAGGCCACTACCTTTTGTTCTTGCATTAGTACACACCCGAGTCCTTAGTGAGACGCGTCATAGTACACTTCGAACTTCCCTTGGGGATCTGGAAGAATCAATATCGAAGCTGAGGTCAATCTCCTCTTCAACTCTTGAAAGCTAGCCTCGCATTTTTTATCCCACACAAAAGGTTGATTCTTTTGGGTCAAATGGGTAAGAGGGGTGACAATCTTCAAGAAACCTTCGATGAATCTATGATAATATCCGGCAAGTCCCAGAAAGCTACGGACTTCGGTCACTGTCTTGGGTGGTTCCCAAAGTAGAACAGCCTCTACCTTGGATGGGTCAACAACAACGCCTTCCTTAGAAATAACATGCCCTAAGAAATTCACCGCTTCAAGCCAAAATTCGCACTTGGAGAGCTTAGCATATAGTTCTTTCTCTCGCAAGAGTTTTAAGACAATTCTCAAGTGATGCGCATGTTCTTTAGGACTTCGTCAGTAGACAAGAATGTCGTCGATAAAGACTACCACGAATCGATCCAAATAAGGGTGAAACACACGGTTCATGTAATCCATGAACACGGCGGGAGCATTAGTCACGCCAAAGGGCATGACCAAGTACTCAAAGTGACCATATCACATTCTAAAAGCCGTCTTTGGAATGTCGTCCTTCTTGACTCGAATCTGGTGGTATCCTGACCTCAAGTCTATCTATGAAAACACGGATGCTCCTTTCAACTGGTCTATCAAGTCGTCAATCTGAGGCAAAGAATATTTGTTCTTGATGGTTACTTTATTAAGCTGACGATAATCCACACAAAGTCGCATACTTCCATCCTTCTTCTTAACAAGCAGAACTGGGGCTCCCCACGGGGATACGCTGGGTCTAATGAATTGCTTCTCAAATAATTCTTCCAGTTATTGTTTCAACTCAGTAAGTTCTACGGGCGACATCTGATAGGGTGCCATGGAAATTGGTCCAGTGCCAGGAACCAAGTCTATAGAGAATTCAACTTCTCTCTCCAGAGGCAATCCAGGCACGTTTTTGGGAAAAACTTTAAGATATTCATGAACGACGGATATCTCATCAAGCACAGGGTCATCCTTAGGATCGTCAATAGCAAAAACCGCGAAAATTATCGTTTTCGCATCCCTTGGATCACGGGTACAATTACCATCTTGGCTTTCTCGAGTTTCCTCCTTAGTCCTTTCAACATTGTTCAAACTAAAAGCTAACTTCTTATTTGGACAGTCTAACATAACATGGTTGGCAGAAAGCCAATCCATACCTAGGATGACATCCAAATCAGAGAGGGGTAAACAGATCAAGTTAACAAGGAATTCTTGACCTTCCAAATAAATACGACAATCACGACAAACAAGGGAGGTGGCAATAGAGGGACCGGCAAGGGTAGAGACAATAAGGTTTCCGGTCATAAGAGAGATAGGCAACTTCAACTGCCTCACACAATCATTGGAAATAAAAGAATGCGTTCCTCCAGAATCATACAATACTCTTAAAGAAACACCATTTATAACACACGCACATTGGATCAAGTCATCAGAGTGAGTGGCCTCAATACCACTCATTGTGTACACACATCCCCTCATGTTAGGTCTTCTAGAAGGATTCGTAGAGTTAGTAGGATTTGGCTGACGACGATTTCCCGTCTGATTCTGACCACTATTGCTACGATTTCCATTCCAATTTCTCCCTTTGTCGTTTCCTCCCGCATCATTCCTCGCCAAATGGCAAGAAGAGCTATAGTGGCCTTGCTGACCACATCTAAAGCAAGTCACAAAGTTTTGGCAGCAATCTCGTTGGAGATGAGGTCCTCCACAGCTAAAACAGCACAACTCAGGTCGCCTCTATCCTTCATGGTCTGGTCGTCTAGTGTCAAAGGAATTTTGCTTTTGTTGATAGTTGGCGCGGTGGTACGGCTTCTTCCCATCTCGTATCTCTCTCCTCTTAAAGTCAGAACTCCCCACAATCCTTTGAGGTCCAGTGTTCTTCCATGCAACTTGCTTTGCCTTTTTGTCATCCTCATAAATTTGGCACTTGTCTACCAATGCGGGGAAATGTGCAATCTGCTGGTAGCCAATTGCTTACTTGATATCAGGTCAAAGTCCACTCTCGAACTTGGAGCATCTAGCTCGGTTATCAGCATGGGAAAAGTATGAGCAATACCTCGACAACTCATCAAACTTGGCCGCGTACTCCCCTACACTTGTACTTCCTTGCTTCAGGTTTAGAAATTCTAGTTCCTTTCTCCTTCTAAGATCCTCAGGAAAGTACTTCTCAAGGAATCTACACCGAAAAGTTGGCCAATCAATAGCGGTCCCATCCGTCACCAACTGTTGGCGAGCGATCCTCCACCAATGCTCTGCTTCACCCACGAGCATGAAAGTAGCATAAACGACCTTCTCGTCGTCCGGACATGCCATGGCCTCAAATATCTTCTCTAACTCCTCCAGCCAGAGTTAGGCTCCATCAGGGTCAAATCCTCCACAAAAGTGAGAGGGCTTGTTTTTACGAAACTCGAATAGTCCTCGATTCAAAGCTGGCTCGTGTTGCCTCTCCAGGATACCCACTACTCTTTCGACTAAGGTATCAATAGTCGCATTCCTCTGTCTCCAAGCCATAGAACTCTGAAAAACAAGTCGCAGGCAGGTAAGACAGCAGAAATACCCTAAAGCTAAGAATCACCATTAATCAGAATAATAAAACCTAAGGTAAAACAATTCGTCAATCAATTCACACAAGTATGGGCAGTTAGGACCATACCTAGGGCCGAATGGATTAAACTACTCTAATACCACTAAAATGTAACACCTATTTTCTACCAAAACCCCATATACTCATATTATAACTTAAGACTCTACAACGTGGCACACCTAAATTATACGCGTAAGAGAACTCAATCAAACAGTATTATGGAGGGATCCTACTAGCTATATACCGTCATCCATCACTCTAGGGGCATAATTTCGTCTCTTAATCCTCAAGATTTGCTCAAAAGTACTTCCATGAATGATCACATAACAATTCTTTATTATACGATTCCACACCAACCGCATCAATTTACGGTATTCACATTCCAACTCAAATATTTAATTTATCACAATAACTCAAACTAATTAAAAGATAACCATTATAACAATGTACTTGCATCGAGTTCACTCATCGTAAAATTATATATATTACCCAGTCTCACATTTCAACAACGTACAAGTCATTTATATTAGTTACTCTAATTGTTATAACTCTATAACAACGATACCGTTAGAGATGAAATTTTGGAAATATAACAAAGAATATATTGATAAAAGAAAAATGCATAAATATATATACCATCCAGCCAAGGTGTCCGAGGAAAAAGGGAAAAAAAAATCAAAGCCAAATAACCCCAAAGTCAAGTATTCCAAAATAGTAAAGACAACCCAAGTCCTATGAGCAGTATTTATCCATGACGAAAATAAAACAACAACTACAAATAAAACTCTAACGGAAGGGAATTCTCGCTGGGGTCAGATTCTACTCCGTCAGAGTCATGAGAATCATCCACTAGCTGAGGACGAGGAGAGGGCGACAGGTTGTTCGGGTCGCTATCAATCCAGCCAACAGTGGGTGGAGGCGATTGAGAAGCAAGTGGTGGGGTGAAGGGCATCAGATGGAGGGTTCACTTCGTCGGAAGGAGGTGCTTTGATCCGTGGGAAGTGGCGAGACACTGGCCTAATGGAAGACTCAATAACTTCAATATCTTTCAACTCAGGGGCAGGAGAAGGGCTAGGAGGAGGGGTAGGCTCTGGGTCCAGATCGATAATGGTTTTACCTTTTTTGACAAAAGTTTTCAATCTCTTGGCAAGGGGTTCTTAAGATGAAGGAGAAGAAGAGGGTGAGTGAATGATAATGCTCCGTTCAGATGGTAAAGGTACGCAGATATCAGCAAAAAGATGGTCACTACAACTAGGCTTCCAACCGTCTTCAGCGAGAGGCCCCATGGTCATGGAGATCATTCCTTGATACACGAGACGGCACGTTATCGGGTCGTATCTCCAGACTGCTTTCTCCCCGGAATTCTCTCCCCAAATCATTGCTCGCTGAGGGGATGTTACAGGGGTGCCTTCGAGAACCCAGACATAGGTGGTGCATGGCTGTCGTCAGCTCGTGCCGTAAGGCGTTGGGTTGGTGGTGACACCAACAGTAAGCGTGGGTGCACCATAGGCCACACACTCTCCTCCAGACTCGACCTCTGACTAACACCTTTGTCAAGGGGCTCGTGACCTCACATGTTGTATCTGTGAGGTGAGGGCTATCCGGCGACCATCCATGGTGTGAAATTGAGTAAGTCCCTAAGGTTGCGGATATCAGGAATCTGATCACAATGCCACGATGAGTGTCCAAGCGTGCAGTGAGCGTACGTGTGTGTATGGATTGCTTGATGGTGCAGTGAACACACCTGTGTGTTAATGAGAATGGAATATTTAAGTTATCACTTTGTGTTTGTATGATGAATGATTTATATTATGATAGAAATGTGTGGAAGTTTGTCAAATGAGTCTCTATGCTTATGCGTGTTGGATAGTGTAGAGTACTCACCCTTACATTTACTTTTCAAGTGACCAAGACGATCAGCATCGAACTCAGTGAAGGGATGGATGGAACTACTATAGGACTAGAAAGTTATTTTGGAAACTCTGATATATTTAAAATTAGTCTTGTAGCAATCTTCTGATATAAACTTGTAATTCGTCCTTATTTGAAATATTTTACCAAACTTATGCATTGGAAAATCGGTTGAATGGAAAATTTTCATTATTCCCATTTTTGTGAAATTTATTTACTTAAAATTAAATTTAAGTTGTTACATGTGTAAGACCTCATGAAATGTTGGAAGCATCGAATAACTATAATCACAGTGCACGAGGAAATGCATGATTGGGAGAGAAGTTTATTAATTACGTGACTAAATATGGATGAGTTTATGACAAGTACTAATATATTGTTTTTATATGCAATGTTGTAATATTTAAATTGATTATGTGAGTGAAATATATGTGTTTTGGCATTTGCTAATGTATTTATCAATGAAATTGAAATTATGAAGAATCGTAACTGATTATGTTTTAGTGGTGAGGAAAGAACTCATCTTTACTAATGTTTTTAGGGAACCAGGATGATCAACCCATATAGACCCATTAGATTGTCTGAATGGTTTGTAAATAGCAAACTCAACTAGGTATTTAGAGAGTGGCAGCAGATCTGTCACTATAAATTTATAGTAGATAGTAATAGTGGATCTGACGATGTCTTTACTCTATAAATGATAATAGGATATAATGTTTCTTTTGATTATCCTATTAATGGTAGAATCCACCATACCCTTAGTCTATACATATATACAAGAACAGTTTGGACGTCAGATGCTGTAAACTATATGTACACCTTCCACAATCATGACCATATAGGAAGACTAGCCATGTTCACCTCGAGAACAGGTGACTGGCATAAGAGGTCATTGCTGACACTAGAGATCGTTACAACGAGGACTTGAACTAGAAGAATTGGCAGAGATAGAAGATTGGTTTGAGAATGATGATTAGGATCGTATCCTCAATACTTTTGGTATGGATTTAGACTGCTCATTAGGATTTAAATTATTTTGTTGATATTGTAATTATGTAAAATTAAGTCCTGGTGTATTTTGGTAGTGATCTGTAAATATTAAACCTTACATGAATGAAATTCAATGTATATTTTCTACTACTGAAGTGTAATTTTATCTAGTGAATCGTAATGCAATGATAAACATACATCTTTTATTGTTTCAAATAATTTTGTATCTTTTGGTAAATTGAATCATGCAAAATAAGATTTTGATTTTATCATATTTTCATACTATTTGTATAAGAAATTCATTTTATTTTTCATATTTGGTCGTAAATTTTAATTTTTTTTATCAAAAATTGAATAAGAAATTAAGGATGTTATACTTGCCACCACAAGGGAGGAGTAAGAATTTAGGAGTATTTTTGTTTAAGAAATAGAGGACTTCTTGGCATTATACACTTTCAAAAGTTAGAGTTTAAATTACACATGACCAAACATAAAATGGGGAAAGTATATTTTTTTTCCCTAATTAAAGCAAATTACATCATTCTCTGACAACAAACAACTTACTATCTCATCTCTCACACAAATCATGGACATAATTACTATACTAATACACATCAAAATATATAGCAACATTCAAAGAAATTTAATTCCCTAATTTTAGCCTGTAAATATGTAACTTTGGTTGCCAAATTCTTTCTTAATTCTTCATCCACAATCATTGCATTTCAAGGGGAGAGTTTGCTTAGATAAGCATTAAATCTCGCATCTCCTCTATGCTAGAGCATTATCAACCCATAAAATAATTGCAATAGTCACTAATTTGCACTATATGTAAGAAGTTAAACAATTACACATAAACTCTAACTCAACACACCAATAAACCACTTTTATTCACTAATAAATTATATTTTAATCATATTTATTAAGAGTTAATGTAGCCTAATTATATCATACTAGTGTTTAATTAGTTTGAATTTATTAAATTTATTAAAGAGATCTTGATAAGATTTGAAAGATAAAAATATTTTTTCAATTTTTTAACATCTCTCACAATGTTTATTATTTTGATGATATCTTGAGTTATAGGTCAAATTTTGAGATAATTTTTGTTCCATTAGAAAAATCTTTTAGGGAGCTTCAATATGATGTATAATTTTGCAGAAAAATGACAGCTGCACATAAAAATCTCTATATTATAATTTTATTAGAATTAATTTATTCTATTAGGGTCCATTACGTTTTAAATTTGTATTAATCAGATTATATCTTATTAAAGTTCTTATAAATAGTTTAGTTTTCTCTCATTTAGCATGTTTGGATTACGTTCAAATTTCTTTATAGAAATCTTTATATTTCAATTTTATTGGACTTAATTTATTTCATTAGGGTTCATTAATTTTGAATTTGTATTAATCAGATTATATCTTATTAAAATTATTATAAATAACTTAGTTTTCCTCTCATTTATAGCACGTTTAGAATTACTTTCAATTTTGTTTGTTATTTTCATATTCAAGATTTCAATTTTCAACATTAGTTTTTGTTTGTATTCTTTATTGTTCGCATTATCCTTCTATGTTTTTTTTTTTTTTTTAATGAATATGGGACATGGAAGTCTAAACACTTGAGGATTAATTTTTTAATTCAAGTTCAATAATTGAAACTTAAGGTTTTATTCTTAATCGATTTTAAATCTATTTTACTCTTATTCTTAATTTAGTTCTTCAGATTTTGTATAGTATTTGAACATGCGTACTCAATGATATTCAAATTCTATATCTGCCCTTAATACATAATTAACAAGAATTTTTTAATTATATTAATATTT